CAGTGGCTTAAACTCACGCTGGGCGCATATGCGTGCGTGCCCAAGATCCTGAGGGGAGAATGGAGGAGAAGGGATTGCGGCCATCCCCCCTGGGTAGTGATTTCTCGCTTTCTTTCTCTCTGTCTCTCTCTCTGTTTGGCAAGCACATGCACCCTATAGCAAACACCTCTAAAAAAATAGATAATACCCCATTTCTTTGTTCCATTAATGCTTTGCCTCTCTATTTTTCTCCTTAATGTCTTTCCTCAGACTCTACTCCTTCACTCACCCTTTTCCAAGACTACATGTGGTATTCACAACCATTTTCTGTGTTTCTATACCCTTTAGTCATTCAGTTTTGGTAACAGAGTGTGGACACTTGGTATATATTAAGTGGGGACATACCATGTCTCTCCTTCATAGCCTGGCTTGCTTCACTGAGCAGTAAATTTCCCATATTTATCTACTTTCTATATGGAATACTACTCAGCCATAAAAAAACAAGATCCTGGCTTTTGACAGAAAGGTCTATTAGATTTCTTTTGAGAATCACTAAACAAACTTTGTACTAGTCATGTGTGTACAATACAGTGTGTTATACTCCAGAAAGGTTTTGTGATTATACCACAGTTGGTTTAGTGTTATAAAAGATGTATATACCAATTGTACCTTAGTTTAGTTTTCTTTTTTCTTATTTTTTTTTAGAGATTTTTGCTATTTGTCAGAAACACTGAGAGTGACAGAGAGAGAGAATGTAGAAATCACCCACTAGGGATTGCAATCCCTTTTCATATATTCTCTTGGGATTTTGGGTATTCATGACATGGGCCTGGCATGAGTTTCATGCCTCTGGGTTCAGGACTCAAACTGTGGTTGGCCATGTGGGAGTCCAGCACTCCCACCACTATGCTACTTGCTGGACTTTGAATGCCAGAATACTGTTTTGTTTGTTTGTTTGTTTGTTTGTTTTTAGCATAATAGATTAAGGAAATATAGCTGTGGAGACAGAGAAAGAGAATGGAAAATTACTGTACTTATACAGAAAACAGACATTGACATTTAATTATAATATCTGCTGCATCTAAGGTCCTCTTTGACGTGCCACTTCAGTGCCCTGGATGGTAAACTAAAAACCTCAGATATTAAATGCTTTTATCAAAAATATTGACTGCATTATCCTGGAAACATTTGCTGTTATTGTTTAATTGATTTGATTTCTATTTCTTTGTTTATTTTAGAAGATGAATGCAGAAAAATTTACTGAAGAAAATCAAAAGAAGCAGCTAGCTAAACTGAAAAAAAGGGAGGAAAAAAGGTGGAATAACTTGTCCTTGTCTATTGACAAAGAAATTAAAGTGAATCTGAACTCTGGATTGAGAAGATTAGAAGATTTTCTCCAAGCATGTCCTGTTAAATCTGTAAAATTTATAGCAGAAATGGTGGGATTGGAAGCCTGTTTCAAAGTATGGCTGAAATACTGTCTAGAATCAGGTATATAAGCATCTAAAAGTTATATGTAGCTACTGATTATTCTGTTATTTAGTGAATTTGGGAACTCTTTATGAAGTCTAAAGAATGAGGATTTTCTTTTGTTCGAATCAGTAATAATGACATAGTTATTTATGTACATGATAGGTATTGGTGGATAGATTAAATTTAAATTTAAGTTTAACAAACAGTTCTTCAGAGCCTGCCGTAGACTGAGTATATCTATCTATCTATCTATCTATCTATCTATCTATCTATCTATCATCTATCATCTCTATCTCTATATATCAATATATAATTTAATTATTACAATTATTTGAGATAGGGCCCTGTACATGATAGTACACATAACACATTGAGGTTGTAGGAGAACAAATTAAGTGTCAGTGACGGAGCAATAACTTTAATATAACTCTTAGTCCAATGTATATGCTCAAGTTAAAATATTTAGTAGACGGAGGTACAAATAAATGTTGTGGATGAGGACCAAAGAATGTGCATTATTTCTCTCTTAATTGTAACCACAGAGAAGTAAATATTAGGAGAATTCAATGTGAAATGGATATCTTTTCATTAAATATCAGGTTAGACCAAATTTGGTATTAGTCCTATACCTACTGCCATTATTGTTTCATTTTGCAAGGATTTTGTAAGAATTATGTTGTTGAATCCATATAAAAATGAAATTAGATGAAACCCTTTGTTAGTATCCTCTCTGTACATATAAAAGAAATAGATTTAGGGGTAACTTTTCATGCTCCTAAATCAATCACAATCAAGTTAAATTTGAATTTCAGGTAAACAATGAATTTTTAAACCTAAGTATGTGTTACACAATGTTTGTCTCAAACTGGGCGTCCTGTATTTATACCTGCTAAATTTGGCAACCCTTTTCAAACTTAAGAACCCACCCTCTTAATTGTTAAATGTAATCATGCTCATTATGAGTTCCTGTATCATTATGAGTGATTTATATAAATGGGCTGTTGTAATAAAGCTGAATGATCTTTGGGGGTTTTGGTGTTAGTATCATGCCTCAATTAAGTTGTACATGCACGTGTTTTACTTCAACAGAAGCAGAGCCCAAAGACCTAAGCATAGTAATTCAGTTGATGAAAAGGATTCACATAATCCATGAAAAATATTCAGAATTCTTAGAAAATACACACAGACAAAAATTAGCCAAATATCTGAAATACATTGGATTTGACAACCTGGCACACTCATTATGTTCTCAGGTAAATAATCTAGAAAATGTTGCATGATATTCCCAGTATGTGTGTGTGTGTGTGTGTGTGTGTGTGTGTGTGTGTGAGAATGTGAGTTTTATGGAATGTATTTAGAGTAAATGTACATCTGATTAATAGTTAATTGTTAGCTATACATTAGTCTGTATAAGAATTGGTTTAATATTGTTTATACGTGTATATTTATCTTGAATTAACTTGTATTTCTTTTTAGGAAAAATATGCTTATAAATAATATGTTTTGAATATTTTCACATATATTGACTCCTTTACATTTTCTTTTTGTCATCAATTCTTCTGAAGAATCTGTTTGAAGAGAAAATATTTTTTGAATGCAAAATATCTAAGTAGTGGCTTGAAATCCATGAAGATATTGCATGTATAAATGGACGCTATACTTGTGCTACTGCTTGGGCTTACTTAATATGGGAGTCCTTTTATCAATATAATAGGTGGAATGGGGAGAGAGATATCAATGAATTAACTTGAGATGACATTTCAGAAAATGGAGGCATAACTAGCTTCCATTCCACTTCTGAACTAATCCTTCCTTTTGTGGCTTTATATCATTTAATACTGACCTACTACAGGAATCCAGACTTTTTTAGGTTAACATTCCTGAAGAATATTAGCAGAGCCCATGAATCCTTCCTCACTATGTCTTACTCTGCTAGACTTAGGTGACCTTGGCAATTCTGTATGTCCATGTGGAGAGTCTGAGCTTTCCCAGAGAGCTTTTGTTCTAGCCTCATATGTCAACAGCATGGATGAAGTCCCACTTCTTGCTGTCCAATTGCCATAACTAAAATTCTACTTTCCTATTTCTCAAGACTTATATAACAAGATTAACATATTTAGCAAGACTGGTTTTTTTAGTTTTTATTTGTTTTTCATTTTACTTTATACATTCAGTCACTGTGTTTCACCACAGCTTGTAAAGAATTCTCTCAACATAGTACACTACACACAAATCCAGTTAAAGATGTTATCATACATGCTGTCATCAATAAACTGTTCTCCATTTCTGTGTCACTTAAATGTCTTTTTTATTTTTCTCCTTGATTAACTACTCCACCGCCCTACTCCAGCTCCCACCCTCCTCTCACACTGTCTCCAGTATTCACAACATTCTCCATCATTTATATTGAGACATAAAGTATCTCTCTTTCATAGTCTGACTTGCTTCACTCAGCAGTAAATCTTCCATATTTTATTTGTCCACTTTGTATGAAGTGCAAGGTTTGTTTTGTTTTGTTTTGTTTTTGTGACTGAGTAGTATTCCATAGTGTATATATGGAATATATATATATGTATATATGCCACACTTTTTCAATCTATTCATCTGTTTGTGGAAATTGAGGTTGGTTCCATGTTTCAGCAATTGTGAACAACACTGCAATAAGCATGGATGTGCATGCACTTTTTGGCAGTGTTTTCCTGGCCTTTGGGTAGATACCCAGGAGTGGAATTGCTGGATCTTATAATACTTCTACAAGTAAGTTTTTTAGTGAGCTCCATATTGTTCTCCACAATGACCATACTAATTTATATTCCCCCCCAACAGTATAGGAGAGTTCCCTTTTCTTCACAGTCTTTCCAGCACTTATCACTGACTTTATTGTTGCATGACTTAAACTACTACTATAGTTTCATTTTCTTTTCTGTATATATGCCACACTTTTTCAATCTATTCATCTGTTTGTGGAAATTGAGGTTGGTTCCATGTTTCAGCAATTGTGAACAACACTGCAATAAGCATGGATGTGCATGCACTTTTTGGCAGTGTTTTCCTGGCCTTTGGGTAGATACCCAGGAGTGGAATTGCTGGATCTTATAATACTTCTACAAGTAAGTTTTTTAGTGAGCTCCATATTGCTGGATCTTATAATACTTCTACAAGTAAGTTTTTTAGTGAGCTCCATATTGTTCTCCACAATGACCATACTAATTTATATTCCCCCCCAACAGTATAGGAGAGTTCCCTTTTCTTCACAGTCTTTCCAGCACTTATCACTGACTTTATTGTTGCATAACTTAAACTACTACTATAGTTTCATTTTCTTTTCCGTAAGTAAGTAAATAGAGAAAAAAATGCTAACTGTTAAAACACTTTAATTATGTTTCTGGCAATTTTTAAATGGAAGTTTTTCCTGTTTCAAGCCCTCAATGTTTCAAGATATTGAAACATTTGTGGTAGATTCTCAACTAGAACATGTAAATTTTTACTTCCAATGATTTGCTTGTATTAGCATAATCAAGATGGATCAGACCTTCAAGAATGGAGGCTAAGTCAAATATGGTAATTTCTCGTGATGGTACATTCCTTATGTTGTTTATTATTGGATAGACTTCTTTGGGTAAAATAATTTGATTTGTAAGGTAATATATTTATTACATAGATCCTTATAAGAATATTTTCTTTACCAATGATTTTTTTTCTTTTTTTAAGACTAAAAATATTTCTTAATAGAAATGCAATTTTTAGTTTGTATGTGTGTATATTTGTGTGTATATTTATGTATAAATGGATTGTTCATGCTTAATGATTACTAAAGTTTACACTGAATTGTAATTAAAAGATTAATTTCATATTACATTTTCATAATTTTCAGTGGAACATGGTATTGGCATATAGAACAGTATTTTAAAATTATAGTAAAGATATACTATTTATGTTCCATACATACATCACAATAGTGATATATTAGAACAAAATTTTTGCCCTCCTTTGTTTACTTTTAAATTGGTTTATACAATTTTAGGATTTGTAGAATATTGAAAGAAACATGAAATTATAATCTTGTTAAAGCAAAGCAAATTATAACATGATTGATAATAAATTTTCCATGCTGACCTTAAAAGTTGTAAACTAGTATGAAAGCTTACTATATAATGCTTATTTTAGGTGAAGAAATCAGATATAGAGAAAGAAATTTCTAAATATTCAGTTCACATGGGAGCAGCACGGTTTCAGTTAACACACATGGGCCCACACTTACTTCGAGAAGAAAGGAGTGATCCAGATCCCAGGGTGCAGAATTTTATACCAGACACATGGCAGGTATTTATCTGAAAGATCCGCATCTTGGAAGGCACAGAAACTGTCAAAGCAGTTGGTTGGGATTTCACTATGTGCAAATAATTGTGGAAGTGCATAAACCATTACAGAATGCAACATAATGGCAATGAAAGACAATCATGCCTTGACGTAACATGTAGAGTAACACAGCAAAGAGTAGAATGAACTAAAAGATTATTGGTTTTATTAAATGAGCCAGCACCAATGGTGCTCCACAATGGTACTCCACAATGATGAAACCATGTGGGAAGGTGTCAGTTTTGCATCTTGAAGTCTCTCTGTGAACACTGAGAATGAGTGTGCCCATTATCCTGACTGGCTACGGCTTGAGGTAGGATCATGGAGGGAATACCTTTGTTCAATGTGCCTCCTTTTCCCTCTCTATTGCTGCCTCCTCTAGTGAAATAAAAAATTAATAAATAAACTATAAATGGTAGGGATTGGGTTAAAAAGAAGGTTCTCCATATATCCACTTAATTTTATATTTAAAATATAGTGTCTAATGTCTAATGCTACATATTCAGCACAAGTTTACTGTTTTCTGTTTGTTTGTTTTGCCTGTTTTTTTTTTTTTCAAAGTAGAGGTATTTTTAGATTGTTCAGATGTTAAACAGGCCCCAACTGCCATGTGTAGCAGTAACACACATGCCCAGCAAGGTTGGAAACTGTGTGCCTGCCTGTGGGTTCAGATCTCTAGGTCAGCTTGAAAACACATTGAGTGCATGGAACCGAGAACTGAGAAGCTGGAGGGCTGGAGGAGGGATTTTGGTATGGCACGACCCTGTCAAGTGTGGTCCTTCTCTCTCTTTTTGTCTCTCTCTCATGCATGGGTGCTGTCATAAAAAAAAGAGCATATCATAAATAGTAGAGTCATTCATAATGTATTATGATATATCATAAATGCAAGGGATCTTCTAAAAATTCATGGAAACTACATATTATAAAAAAAATTATGCTGGGGACCAACAGTTAGCGTAATGGCTATGTTGCTAAACTCCCATGTAGCCGACCATGGTTCGAGTCCCGGACCCAGTGGTTTAAACTCACGCTAGGCACGTGTGTGTGCATGCCCAAGATCCTGAGAGGAGAATGGAGAAGGGATTGTGGCATGGCCATCCCCCCAGTGGGTGATTTCTCCCTTTCTATCTCTCTGTCTTTCTGGCGAGTACACGCTCCCTATAGCAAAAACCTCTCAAAAAAAATTATGGATGGGTTTTCAAAAATTTTGGCACCAAAAATTGATTTGTTCTTTAATTTCATTTTCCCCACAAACTTCTTTGAGGGCCCTTCATTTATAATACATTGTATATATGCATATGTGTTTGGAAAAAAAAAAACCTTCTTTTCTATACTTACATAGTTCAATGAATCTTAATTTATGAACCAAAAAATGTAAATATAAAGAACAACAGATTTTAGTATTGAAGGTCAGCATAAGGTTCCAAATTAAATTAAAGCTAAAAAATGTAGAGAGCTGGTTTGCAGGCCACCCTGGTCACAAGCACCTTGATTATTAGGCCATCTTTCTTCTTCTCCTCCTCCTCCTCCTCCTCCTCCTCCTCCTTTTGAGAGCAAGAGGGAGAGAAAGAGAGAGAGAGGGATTTTTGACAGAGTCTCACCATGTCACCACCCTCCCACCCCTGCCTCCCAAGCTAAGACTACCAGCACACATCACTACACCCAGCCTGGATGGAAGGAGAACCAATCCTGAACCACCCATGCAGTGTCTCCCTCCTACTTGCACCACTGTGACAAGATCTTATTAGAGCATTTTTAATACAACCTTAAGAAAGAGTTTTATACAGAAGGTGGGGTGCGATTTGAAGTATTTGCAACTCACAAAAAAATGGCAATATTCTAAAGTTACTGTGAACTTGAACCTTTGTGTTTATCAGAAGGGACTGTGAATACTAATTAGTCCTAGATATACTGGAAGGTAAATTAAAATTCGACATTAAACATGCATTTTAAAATATTTGTATTCTTTTTTAGAGGGAACTCCTTGATGTTGTAGATAATAATGAGTCTGCGGTGATTGTTGCTCCAACTTCGTCAGGGAAAACCTATGCGTCTTACTACTGCATGGAGAAGATCTTGAGAGAGAGCGATGAAGGGGTGGTTGTATATGTTGCCCCAACAAAGGTATGTGGCTGTATGGCACCAGGTAATCATGAGGGATGGCCATGCCTCGATCCCATCTCCATTTTTTCCTCCTTTGTGGAGTAACACGTGATTACTATAAGCTCTATAGTCTTTTTCCTTTAGAGTGACCTATTTAAAATAAGGTGTAGTGGCCCCTGGCTAAGTCAGAAACTTTTTCATCTGAAAAGAGGCATGGGGCCTTGTTTCTCTAGGGTAGCACTTGATTGTCAGATGAAGTGGCACTGGGGAGTTCTCACTTCTGTCACATCACCCTGTCCTTTAACTTTACAAGTGAAAACTCTGAAGCTTAGTGAAGTTAAGCATGTGCTTGTTATTGCACAACTGACTATATATAAATTATATGCAAACATATATATATATAATTTTCCTAACAGCAGAAGCCTACATATTTTCACGTATTCAATTCACTTTTGTTAACTCTACAAATTCCCATCTTGATCTTAAAAGTTTTAAAATTCATTTTGCTCCCTTTACTGAATAGTAAACTCTTCTTTCTTTCACAGGATACTACTTTCCCTTGGGAACTTAATATTTTTTATAAATATAAATTTATATATAAATAGGTATATATGTAATCATATTTACTCTATTGCTGATTATATGTGTATATATAAATATCTATATAAGTATATATATAAATAAATATAAGTGTGTATGTATATATATATATGTACATACACACACATATAAATAAACTATAGCAGAGAGTGCATGCGCTTGCCAAAGAAAGACACAGACAGAGAGAGAGAGAGAGAGAGAAAGCAAGAAAGTAACCGCTGCATGGGAAATGGTCAACACAATCACTTCCCCTCCATTATGTCCTCCTTTGCGATTTTGAACACCCATGCACACATGCCTGATGTGTTTCTTAAGACCCCAGGTCCAGAACTTGAACCACGCAGTTGGCCATGTGGGATCCAGCTCTCTTAACTACCAGGCCTTGACTGGCCCACCAGTGATATTTTTAAATAAAGACATTGTCTAATTTTATATGTACATGCATATATATATATATATATATATATATATATATATATATATAAAATCATTGATGTGGTATACATTTTTAAAATTTGTTTCTGGCTGTCACACCAATGAACATTGTGTAAAATATTACACATAACATTAAATGAAGCCAGTGGAAGAACTTGACACAAATTATTTCATTTATTAAGAGAATTATATCAAATTGGTATTGTTTTGTTACATGCAAATTATTTGAGGGATCTGTTTACTTTAAACATGTTTGCAGTGTTATTAGTAATTATTGAATAGAAACATATTGTGTCTTTTTATGGCTTAAGGCTCTTGTAAATCAAGTGGTGGCAACTGTCTACAGTTTGTTCAAAAAGTCCCTCCCAGAAGGATTAGTGGTGTGTGGAGTTTTCACAAGAGACTACCGTCATGACACCTTGAATTGTCAGGTATGGCACAAACATACACATGTAATGAATAACACATACAATGACACTCCTGTAGACATGTCAAGGTTATAATGTGATGACAAATTAAATTTATGATTATTCTGATAAGTACATTTGTATTTTAACAGCTTATTTATGATTTTTCTTTTTTAATAATTTACTCAACTTCCAAATGATTATATTTCTTTTTTTAAAGAATTATGTTATTTAACTTTATTTATTTATTTTAATTTGAGCAGAGACAGAGTGAGAGAGAGAGTGAAAGAGAGAGGGAAAGTGAGAAAGCAAGCTGCCAGGTTTGGAACTTGGACCAAGGTGGGCCATGTGGGAGTCCAGTGCTCTTAACTACCATGCCACCTGTAGCCCCCACAAATTAGTGGGATTCATTTCATTTCTATATGAAATGAAATGATTTTCTTTTCTGAAATTTCTACCTTTTTGTTAGTGATGGATTCAAATTGTGATGGTTTTATATTCTCAATGTACTCTATGGAAAATATTTTCTTCTTTCTTTCTTTTTTCACGCTTATTGTATTTGTTTCTTCCATGAGTGAGAGGAGAGACAGGTAGGTAGCACTCCCAGCAGCAGTTGTGATCCACCCTGAGCCTTCAGCCACCCTGGATCATGTGCAACCATGTGTTCAGCATCCTCAGGAAAGTCACTGGGCTTGAACTGAGAACCTTCCCATGTGGGATTGCCCTGCAAAGCTTCCATTTTACTGCTGTGTTACCAATGGGAAAATATTTCTTGACCAAAACAACTGAATTCTGTGAAGATATCAACTTTAGCATATATAGAGATTTGCTACACAATTCGTTTTACTTTCGTGTAATAAAATGATTATTTGAATATGAAAATGTCAATATGTACATATTGTATCATAAAATTTATTAATGTTTAAAAGTTATGACTTAGGCATTTTTTTATAAAAAGTAAATCAATGACTTCCTAATTATTTTTTAACAGATATTGGTGACAGTACCTCAGTGTTTGGAAATACTCTTGCTAGCACCTCATAATCAAAAGTGGGTCAAAAGGATAAGATATGTCATATTTGATGAGGTATGCCATGGTCTATTACTGTTGTTTCAACCAAATATTTTTATGCCAATAAAAACTTTACACAGTATACATTTTAAAAGATAATATTCATATGGATAGTTATTAAAATAAATATTAACACAGTATATGAAGGGGTAGATTCTAGGTGATGGTGATGAAAAATAGATCCCGGGGGCGGGGAGCAGGTGGCACGGTGGTTAAGTTGCTGAATTCCCACATAGCTGACTACAGTTTGAATCCCAGACTCAATGGCTTGAAAATCATGTGGGGCATGTGTGTATGTGTGGCACATATGTCGAGAAGAGAATGGAGGAGAAGGGATTGCAGCATGGCTGTTCCTCCTGAGTGGTGATTTCTCACTTCCCTTTCTGTCTCTCTCTGGCAAATCTTGCACCCTATGGCACAATATATACACTATATATAATGTATCTTTAAGGAGTTGGGAATGGAATGGAAGGAAAAATTTCTAGACTATGTGATAATGACAGAAAAGAAAGTGTCCTAGAAATCACTGGACACATCAATGGCTAATTAACAAGACTTTTCTTACTGTCTTCCCCTTTTAGTAAAAGAACATGTATCAGGACCAGCAGTTAGCGTATTGGCTATGTCGCTGGACTCCCATGTAGTTGACCATGGTTCAAGTCCTGGACCCGGTGGCTTAAAACTCATGCTGGGCGCATGTGCGTGTGTGCCCAAGATCCCAAGAGGAGAATGGAGGAGAAGGGATTGTGGCATGGCCATCCCCCCTGGGGGGTGATTTCTAGCTTTCTGTCTCTCTCTCTCTTTCTGTCTGTCTGGCAAGCGCACACGCCCTATAGCAAAAACCTCTCCAAAAAAAAAAAAAGAACATGTATCTACATGTATCTGTTGAAACAATATTTTAAGAAGCAATTTCCAATTGAACTAACACCAGGTACACTGTAGGTTAAATGTAGTCATATTTATTTCTGAATTTTTTTTTTGGAGAGATTTCTGCTACAGGACATATGTGCTCTCCAGAGAGAGGGAGAGCAAAAAATCACTCCCCAGAGGAGATGACCACACCACATTCCCTTCTCCTCCATTCTCCCAGGATCCTTGGCGCACGTGCGCGCGCACACACACACACACACACACACACACACCTGGTGTGAGTCTGAACTCACCACGGTCTGCAACTCAACCACAGTTGGCCATGTGGGAGTCCAGTGATGTAACTGCTATGCCATCTATTGGTCCTGTCTATTGCTGATTTTTAAATTCCTCATAATTCTAATTTGCATTAGTTTAATAAATTCTATCAGGAGGAAAGAAAAAGCAAAATGTAAGTAAGAAAATAAAATGAGCAAACCTGACACAACCAAACAACAGAACAAGGAGACTACAAATTTAAAAATATAACTTGAGTGCTGATTTTCAGTTATTTTGTAATATATGCAGTGGAGGTTACATGTTAATCTTAAACTGCTGCTATAGGGCAGGCAGGTGGCATTGTAGTTAAGGTACTGGACTCCCATAAGGCCAACATGGTTCAAGTCTCAGACTCTGGTTTGAAACACACCGGGCACATGTACATGCATGCCCAAAATCCAAGAGAAGAATAGAGGAGAAAGGATTGCAGTATGGTCATCCCCCTGAAAGGTGATTTCTCACTGTCTCTGTCTCTCCAGTGAGTGCATGTGCCCTATAGCAAAAATCTCTCTCAAAACAAACAAACAAAAGTGCTGCTGTTGCACACTTGAAATACTTCATTTTTGTCAGTTGAAAATACCTTTAAATTTCCATCTTTTTTTTTTTTTCTGGTGCATGAGTTATTTAGAAGTATATTTCTTAATTTTTTTAGAGGTTTTTGTGCTTGCCAGAAAGACAGAGACAGAGAGACAGAAAGCGAGAAATCACCCCCCAGAGGGGATGGCCATGCCACAATTGCTTCTCCTCTCGGGATCTTGGGCACACACACATATGTGCCCAGTATGAGTTCAAGCCACTTGGTTTGGGACTTGAACGGCGGTCAACTCCATGGGAGTCCAGCGACATAGCCATTACGCCAACTTCTGATCCAATATTTCTTAATTTTTAAGCATATTTTTTTGTTTCTTTAATTGCCAGAGAGTGCATGTACTCACCAATGGAGTGTGGTAATGCCACAATCTGTTTTCCTCTATTTCTCCATCTCATCAGAATTTGGGGCATGTATGTACATATGCCTGACATTTTTTTCAAATCTATGAGTCCAGGATTCTTACTGTGGTTGGTCATGTGGTATCAAGCAACTAAGGTATAGCACTTAGCCACTATGCTATGGAGCTGGCCCTCAAGTATACTTTTAAAAAAGCTATGTTTTTTGTTATATATTTTTAGCATAGTTACACTTAGGTCAAAAATATATTCTTATTTTTTTATACTTCGAAATTCAAATTAACAGTTTTTATGTCAATGGCACTTGTTTTTGTTTGTTTGCTTTTTTAAATTTTAGAGAATGTATTTTATTTTGCTTTTTATTGGTTCACGGTTTTAAGTCTTCACCAAATATCCTTTTCATCATCTTTCATTTATCCATATGTATATATTGGGTCAGCAGATCTAGCTTTTTTTCCAGTTTCTGTTTTTTTTTTTTTTAAATAAAAGAGAGAAATGAAGAGTCATGCTAGCAAGTGACTATGAAAGCGCTGACATGTTCTTAAAAAGCATGTAAGCATATTCTACTTTTTATGCAAAGCACTATTTTAGACAACTTTGTAAGTTTGCACTATAATTTTTACTTTTTACATTGAATAGATACACAGATATAAAATTTTATATAAATAAAAATTTGCTGTAGGACACATGTGCTTGCTGGAAAGAGGGTGAGAGAGAGAGAAAGTAAGAAAGCACCTGCCCAAGAGGATGATCACCCTTCAATCCCTTCTCCTCCATTTCTTCTCTCAGGATTTTGGGCACACACACACACATACACACACATGCCTGGAGTATTTTTCAATTCAGTGGGTTCAGAACGCCAACTGCACCCTCGGCCATGTGGAATCCAGCTCTCTTAACCACCACGCCACTACTGCCGGTCTGCACGTTGAATTCTTTCACCAAATTTGCCAGTGGGTGAATGTATTACTGTATACAAGGAGAGAAGAAAAGAATAGGTTCTTGTTGCCAAGTGTTTTAATATTTTGGAAAAGATTATAACTGCTTTTATATTGATACTATTACATTGACAGGTTCACTGTCTTGGTGGAGAAATTGGAGCTGAAGTTTGGGAACATCTTCTTGTTATGATTCGATGTCCCTTTTTGGCACTTTCTGCTACTATCAGTAATCCTGAGCATCTCACTGAGTAAGCCTGATTTTTACATTTTACATGTAATTATTTTCATTATTATTGCTATTAATAAACAGGTAACTCTACCAAGTCATGGGTTACTTAAAATCATCTCTAAAACAAAACTAAACACTGCTTCACATAAGACTTACTTTCTTTGAATTTAGTTATATTTAACTGTAAAGCAATGCCCCTCATCCTTTTTTTTTTCAATTAGCCTGGTTTTTTGAGAATTTTTTGTGAGAGGCACTTAATTTTTCTATATACAGTTTGATGATTAGATTCTCAGAAAACACACAGGCAGTTTAGAACCACCCTTTAAATATGCTATGTGCATTACTTTCTTAGGCAAAACACAAAGAGATGTTTTCAAAATGGGTCAATACATATAAGTAATGGGTATAACTACTAAATGTTTTCAATGAATTTCATAGGGAACCTTAAAGTATCAGTTTGAGTTAATTATGAAAATTTAACAACAGATTAAAGTATGTATATAGAAATATAATTTTAATATAATCAAAATTCTGAAAACATTTAATTATCTTAAAATTACTTTTTAATTTTTTTAAAAATTGTGTTGTTTTCCTGTGGCAGTAATATCTTTCTTTGTTTTTATAACTAGGTGGTTGGCATCAATTAAAAGCTATTGGCAACAAGTTGAAAGCACAATGGAAAATTCTGATCCATGCCAAAATGTCTTGAAAGGGTCAAAGGAACAACAAAGAAAAAGAATAGAAAAACCATCATACAGAGTTAGATTGGGTATGAATATGTTTTTAAAAGGATTTATTTATTTATTTTACTTAATTTTATTTGTTGTTATTATTTATTTTTAACTTTGCCACACAGAGACAGAGAGAGAGAGAAAGGGAAAGTGAGAAAGGAAGCTGCCAGGTCCAGCACTTGAACCACGGTTGCCTATGTGAGAGTCCAGCACCTTAACCACCATGCCACCTGCCAGTCCGGGTATGAATATCTTATCATGGAAGAAAGAAGTCCAGAATTTTTTTTTCTTAAATTTCTTATAGGTACTTGTGCTCACCAGAGTGAGAGAGAAAGGGAAAGTGAGAACACACTCCCTGGGAAATGGCCATGCTACAATACATTCTTCTCTCAGGATTTTGGGCAGGAGCATGTATGTACCTGGTGTATTTTTCAAGCTCCCAGGTCCAGGATTAGAACTACACAGTTGGCTATGTGGGATCCAGCCACCTTAACCATGATACCACCAGATAGCACAGCCCGTAATTATTGTCCTCATTCTTTGAAATTATGCTGGATGTGTCTGTGTTCATGTCCAAAGTCCCAACAGGATAGGAAAATGGAGAAGAGGTTGCAGCATGACCACACCCTGTTGGTGACAGTGGGGCAAGGATGGGGGATGCTTTCTTTCTCTTTTGGTCTCTAGCAAGCACAGGCATACTACCAAATTAAAAAAAAAAAGACATATATTCTTTCTGTTAATTGGTAATATACTTCTCAAAAATAAGGAAAATGAGACCAGCAGATGGTGTGGTGGTTAAGGTGCTAAATGTGGTTTGAGTCCTGCACCCGGCAGCTTGAAAATCACTCTAGGTGCTTGTGCCTGTGTGCCCCCAAATCCCAGAGGACAGAGAAGAAGGGATTGCAGTGTGGTCCTCAACCTTGAGGAGTGATCTCTCACTTCTCTCTGTCTCTTCAGTAAGCACATATGTCTGATGGCAAAAATTTTGAAAAAAGGAAAATATATAATACTAAGTTTAATAATAGTATTAATACCTGCTGTTCCTAATTAATTAAATGTCCCTGTGTGCCCCCAAATCCCAGAGGACAGAGAAGAAGGGATTGCAGTGTGGTCCTCAACCTTGAGGAGTGATCTCTCACTTCTCTCTGTCTCTTCAGTAAGCACATATGTCTGATGGCAAAAATTTTGAAAAAAGGAAAATATATAATACTAAGTTTAATAATAGTATTAATACCTGCTGTTCCTAATTAATTATATGTCTATCTATAGCTAGATAGATAGATATAGATATATATTTATATATCTATATATCTATATTCATTCTATGCTCCATTATACAAAAGCATTTCTTATGAGATTATATAGAAAATAAGTTCAAAAATCGTAATTAAACACTAGGAAGTGAAAAACAATGATAAATTATAATTGGAAATCAACACCTAGAAGAACACTAAGGCATCAATTGGCAGGAAAGTTATCTTTTTTTTTTTTTTAAAAGATTTTTTCTTTAGGGTATGGGTGCTCCATTTTGCTATAGGATATGTGTGCTCACTGGGAAGACAGAGAGGGAGACAGAGAGATAGAAAGTGAGAAATCACCACCTGGGGGGATGGCCACACCACAATTCCTTCTTCATTCTTCTCTTGGGATTTTGGGTACACATCCACATACTCCCAGCTTCAGTTTTAAGCCTCCAGGTCTGGGACTCAAACTGTGGTCAACTATGTGGGAATCCAACAACATGACATTATGCCATCTGCTGGTCCCAGGACAGATATCCTGAGTTTTCATCAAAGGTCCTTCACACTTCACAGCACTGTTTCTGGTGTTTTATTGACAATGAGCTCATGTATACACTTTCCAAAGCCTGCCTATATTTATGAAATACAAATTATATCATTGCTTTGAAAGATAAAAAGATCTTAATCATTGTAATCCTGTATTTACAGTATTGCACAAAGAGCGATACAATGATATAGAGAAGTATGTGTGTTTCTTAAAGGATAATGACTTTATCATGGAACACTATCACCCATGTGCTGCTCTTACAGTCAACCATGTAAGTATAAACTACTTTGGAAGATGGAGAAGTAATCAAGTTGTTAAAAAAAAAGAATGTGATATAAAATTCATTATTTTGCATTTCGTGTTTTTTAGATAAAGAAATATGGAATTCCCTCAGACCTTGCTCTATCTCCTCGGGAAAGCATACTGCTTTATGATGCTATGGTACACATTTGGCCGGAATGGTCAAGAATGCAGGTGAGTGTGTGTGTGCATGCGTGCATGCACATGTGTGTATCTTATGGGTGATGTCTCTAGTCCTGTGACTATAGCAGTGCATCCACAATGAGCAAATTGGGTCAGCTCCATGGCCTGTTGGTTAAGGAAGCTAGATCCCACATGGTTGACTGTGTGTTTGAATCCCAGTTTGAACAGCTTGATAAACACACCAGGTGCACATGAATGAGTGCCTACAGTTCCAACAGAATAGAAAAATGGGTATGTGCATGTGCATGACCACATTCCATTGGTGGATGCTTTCTCTCTGTTTCCACATCTCTCTGATAAGTGCATGCACCTTCTGGAAAAATAAAAAAGCAAATTGATGAAGTTCATTCTAGTTTAGATAACCGCAGTGTATTTGATTTGTGAAGAGCATAAATTCCAGATTTTCAGTTCTCTAGAATTGAGAAGATTAGTTACATTTTCTGAATATTCATTTTCCCCATAACAAAATGAAATATTATTGATCACTTTGCAGAGCTGTTATAAAGATGAATAATTGGGTCATCATAAAAGTCATGACCTTTTTTTCTATGCAAAAATGTATCATGACTGGGGCCAGTACGTAGCATGGGGGTTAAGGCTCTGGACATTCCCACATT